CGGGAACAACTCCCAAGCCAGGTGGGAGCTCGCTGACAGCCGCCTCCCCCGACTCCTCAGACTGCGCTGGAGTCAGTTCTAACACCTCTCTGCTCCATTACTCCACTCAAAGCTTACCCCAGACAGCGTGCTCAAGTGCCTCTGCACGCGCGCTCACCCCAGACAGCGTGCTCGAGAGCCTCTGCACACGCACTTACCCCAGACAGCGTGCTCGAGCACCTCTGCACGCGCGCTTACCCCAGACAGCGTGCTCGAGCACCTCTGCACACGCACTTACCACGGAAAGCATGCTCGAGCACCTCTGCACACGCACTCACCCCAGACAGCGTGTTTGAGCACCTCTGCACACGCGCTCACCCCAGACAGCGTGCTCGAGCACCTCTGCACACGCGCTCACCCCAGACAGTGTGTTCGAGCACCTCTGCACACGCGCTCACCCCAGACAGCGTGCTCGAGAGCCTCTGCACACGCGCTTACCCCAGACAGCGTGCTCGAGCACCTCTGCACACGCACTTACCACGGAAAGCATGCTCGAGCACCTCTGCACACGCACTCACCCCAGACAGCGTGTTTGAGCACCTCTGCACACGCGCTCACCCCAGACAGCGTGCTCGAGCACCTCTGCACACGCGCTCACCCCAGACAGTGTGCTCGAGCACCTCTGCACACGCGCTCACCCCAGACAGCGTGCTCGAGCACCTCTGCACACGCGCTCACCCCAGACAGCGTGCTCGAGCACCTCTGCACACGCGCTCACCCCAGACAGCGTGCTCGAGCACCTCTGCACACGCGCTCACCCCAGACAGCGTGCTCGAGCACCTCTGCACACGCGCTCACCCCAGACAGCGTGCTCGAGCACCTCTGCACACGCGCTCACCCCAGACAGCGTGCTCGAGCACCTCTGCACACGCGCTCACCCCAGACAGCGTGCTCGAGCACCTCTGCACACGCGCTCACCCCAGACAGCGTGCTCGAGCACCTCTGCACGCGCGCTCAACCCAGACAGCG